AATATATATATTGTAGGCAGAACAAGATGCCCGAGTTTTATTGTGATGACTACAATACATACCTCACTTGTGACTCTCGATCTATGAGAAAGACACACTGCAGTGGTCGGAAACAAAGAGAATGTAAAAGGCTACTATCAGAAATGGATGGACGAGCAGGCTCAGAGCTTGATTGACAAAACAACTGTAGCAAGGAAAGATACCTTCTACTCCATTCCACTCTCCTCCTGCAGGAGCACTGATCCCACCTCCCCCAGTTTTCTGGGTCCTCCTCACCCTGGTATAATGCCAGCACTCCAGGGGGGTGGGGGTGGGGTTCCATGATGCCAATGACTGCCCCTCCTCCTCCTGGAATGAGGCTGCTCATGCCAATGATGAAACCTCCCACCCGCCCCATGAAGGTGCCCACTGGCCCTGGAATAACTCGACCAGGCAGATAGGGAGGGGGAAGCCTCTTTCTACAAGGTTTTGCTTATGAGGAGAATGTATGGACCAGCGTGGTATAGCCTACTACACACCTTGGCCAATGGTATAGTCTGTTGTTCCTAAGCTACAAGCCTATGCAGCGATGTAACTTAACAAAACAATATCAGGTTAAACCAAGCATAAGAGAAAATAATAAAACCCAGAGACAAGGTAACCACGAGATTCATGAGGCTGCTGCTGGTATAATGGCATACTGTTTTACAGCAAACCTTTTTTATAAGTAAAAATAGTACATTCTAAAATAAAAATACTAGTATAGCAAATGTATAAGCCAGTAACATAATCTCTTATCATTATCAAGTATTAAGTACTGTACATTATTGTATGTACTATACTTTTATATGTCTGGCATCACAGGCTTACACCAGCATCACCACAAACATGTGAGTGATATGTTGTGCTGTGATATTAAACGGCTCTGTCACTAGGTGGTAGGAATTGTTTTAAGCTCCATTATAACCTTACTAGAGGCCCAGCCTGCACTCTCAGCCCGGCCTGCACCCTCCTTCAGTCTGGGAGCCCTCAGGGGATGTCCGACAGTCGAACATCCTTAGTGCGTCCATGGAGGCGGGAGAGGCTCCCACTACCGCTGCTGCACTCGCCAGCCACGAGCCTGGCTTCTGGCTGAGTGGCTCTCCCCACTGTGGGAGCACACTGACCACCAGGGAGCAGCTCCTGTGTTGAGCATCTGCCCCCTGGTGGTCAGTGCGTGTCATAGTGACTGGTCATTCTGCCATTTTGTTGACTTGCATATTAGCCTTTTATTATATAGGATGGGAATACCATTGTATAAGCGGCCCATTGTTGACTGAAAAGTTATTATGTGGTGCATGACTACACTCTAGTATTTCACAAGCCTTTTCTTTTTGTTTCTCTTCAACTTATTTGAGGGACAGAACTCATAAGTAGCATGATGGTGGGGTGTAAGTGGGTCAACAAAGAGAAACTATTTTCCTACTTCATCTACTCCCTCATTGAGAATTAATCAGTTAAACTACAGTAGATATCCATATATATAAAAGCCCAAGTGTCCGTCCGACCGTCCTACCGGTAGCTATGACATGAACTGACCAGGGGGCAGGCGCTCAACGCAGGAGCTGCCATGACGCGCACTGGCCATTTAAAAAGAAACAGCACCGCACACCTGGCACCGACAAGCCAACACTCGGCTTCCCCCAAGTGGGACACAGGCCCCGCCACCACCCCAGAGTGACACCCACCAAATCGCAGCCAATGCTGCGAAGACCCCATGGTGCAAAATGTGGCCCACAGCTCAGTCCAGCCAGGAAACGGTGGTTGTGAGTGCCGAGTAATGCCGTCACATAGCAACACCCAGCTTCCTCTCCCTAGCCCAGGGGTGGGCAAACTTTTTGACTCGAGGGCCACAATGGGTTCTTAAACTGGACCGGAGGGCCGGAACAAAAGCATGGATGGAGTGTTTGTGTGAACTAATATAAATTCAAAGTAAACATCATTACATAAAAGGGTACGGTCTTTTTTTTATTGTTTTATTCATTTCAAACGGGCCAGATCCGGCCCGTGGCGCGAAGTTTGCCCACGGTTGCCCTAGCCACTAGCCTCCTTGGAGTTTCTTCAGCCCAGGAACACGACTTGCTTTATAGCCAGGTGCAAACATTTTACACTTTAACCAAATGTCTATAAAGCATTTTCATGTGCCTCATCTCATTTGATCCTCACAGAAGTCCTGGAGTAGATAGATAGACTTGGTAGAATCCCATTTTCTTTTCATTAGCTGGAAAGTGGAGATTTAGAAAGTTTAGAAACTTGACTCAACTGAAAAGAGGTAAAAAGTGGTGGAACTTGAAAATGACTTCAGGTTTTCTCACTGTGCAGAATATAGTCAAACACTGCTACAGTTAAATATTTTACCCTTTGTTCTCCCTGTGTGATCTACATTATAATCTGCTTCATGTTGATATTTACTGCTGTGTTACTGACAATTACCTGAAAGAGAAGTTGGGATGCTTCACTGGGCTAGAAAAAGTTTAGCTAAATCAGAAAGCAGGTCTAATTAAACAAGTTTATTCTATACCTATAAAAGGCTATGTTGACTCGCACTTGTGCAATACATATAGAGCTCTCGCTGGCGCCAATCGTATGCGTGTGTTTCCATCTGTCATTGTCGATCGTAAATTTATTTGACACTTCTATTATAGAGAAAGGGTGAATAGCGATAAAGTATTTCTTCTAATTAATTTCCTTTCAATGTGCACGAATCCATATACCGAGACACTAGTTTTAAATAATAGTGTAGGAGAAAAGTTGGGACTCAAAAAAAGTAATCATTAAATACAAGATACAACACATCTACCTTTCCTATCAATTTTGTTTGGAACTAATGTAGCATGTAGGAACTAGGTTAAGGTGGAAGTGAAAATCCTGATTCTTATCCCAGGTGAGCCCCTTTGGCAATTCACTTGGTCTTTGTGTTTCCTGTCCGATAAAATAGATACTACCAATCCTACCATTTTTCAGGTTGCTTTAAGACTTATCTGAAAATTCATTTCTTGTTACAAACATTTGTTGACTGCCTCGTATACAGTAGGCATTGATCTGAGGTACATAATGAATAAAACCAATCCCTAGCCTGCATGGAGCTTCCACCTCCTTGGGGGAAGATATATGAAAAAGAAAGCAATAAAAAACAGGAGGTATGGGTGGGGGGTCGAGTCTGAAGAAAGGTGTGTTTTTTTTACATAAAGTGGTCAGGGAAGCCTCTATGGAATTTCAATAGACTTGAATAAAGTAAATGAGTTGGAAAGGCTTGGCCTGTTGGAGGAACAGCAGTGTGAGCTGGTGGGATGGCAATGAGGTCCAAGAGGTGGGGTTGGAGGTGTAAATCATGTAAGAAAAGAGTCTGGCTCTCATACAAAGGCAAATGGGAAGCCATTGGAGGGGTTTGAGCAGGAGGAACATAACTGATTTACAGTTCAACAGGGTCACCCTGGCTACTGTGTGGAGAACAGAATAGATTACTGGGGGTCAAAGGTGATCAAAGGGAGACTAGCGAATGTGTTCAGGTAGATAAGGTAGGCTAGTTTAGGCTACTGTGACAGTGGTGCAAGTGGTAACTGATCAGAATCTGGGTATATTTTAAAGGAAGAGGCAATAGGCTTTTCTCATGGATTGGATATGAAATATAAGAGAGAGGAGTGGAATAATAAGAGGTTAGGCCAGAACAAATGGAACAAAGGGGTTACCAATATAAGTAAGCTTGCTTTAGAATTTAAAGAGCATTATATAAGGTGATATTAACTAGCTCATTATGCACCAGAAGCCAAATATTTGATAGATTAAAATCTCATTTTAGTCCACCATGACATAAGGTATTTCCTGATTTTCACCAAATATTCATTCTGCAAATTCATTAATCAGAGGTCAGTTTACAATGGAACTTTTCAATCAGAAAAAAAGTTTTATTATAAGAAACAATGCCATCATGTAAAAATGCAAAAAACTGTGCAATTTTGGCAAAATGTTTAAAAATATCTACACATTTGCCCCCAAAGGACTACAGTACTTACTACATACCTGAGCACTGAACATTGAATGACATTTAAACTGCCTCACACAGGGAATCTGATTCCTTGCGGATCACTTCCACTTTTTTTCATGCACCAATGAGATGAGCTTGATCTTATGCATCAACTTTGCAGGATAACAGAAAACAAAGATGGGAAACTAAAGAATACAATTAAAACTTTCCTATAATATAGTTATACCAAGTCCAGTTTTTAATGTCTAAAAAATATATAGGAAAGTGCTACATACGTTCTTCAAATGTAAAAACAAAGTTAAAGTGGGACAGGCATATTTTAGACCTTTATTTTATTTAATTCTTCGGTCCCATTGTGCATTTTACTTATATTCTTAACATACTATGCAAATGTACCTTCACTATCTAAACATATATTCACACATATTACTCATCTTAGTTTTCTTAGTCATCTTAGTTTCATATCCAAATCATTTAAAAAGTGGCAAAGTATCCTAGTTATATAACTTAAACAAATAGTTATTCATACAAAATTCAACATATATTCTATTCCCGTAGCAAATTCTAAACCTTGGCTTTGACACACTATACTTAGATCACACTCCCAACATAAATTTTTATAGTAAAAGGATCAACTGTTGTGCAGATCAACAGAAAAAAAATCTATTGTGGGACCACAGCATGTTGTACTCCTTTTGGTCACACGGCACATGTAAATTACTAACTCAGCGTTCTGTCATATTTTCAAGTAACGTATTTTTCCTAAATAAATACAGAAGATTGTCAAAAAGCATCAGGAAATCTTAGATACTCAACAAAGCTTTCAAAATAAATTACATGAACATCTCTTGCAAAAGTTAATTACTTCTGTTTTTTCTTCTCCTTTGCAATACAACACTTTAAAGATGCTTGAAAAAACTCACAGAAATAGTCCCCAAACAGCATAAAGATGAAGGAAAAACTGGGAAGAAAAAAAGGTTATTGGTTGACAAAGTTTATAAAGAGATTATATATACATTCTCAAGGCCAGTAAGAAAAAGAACCACATATCTAGCTTCACAAGGCTAGATTTTAAAATGTTTATTCTATAAATCCTGTCTACTTTGAATTCTTCTTCAGAAAACATTTCCTACAGTAGAGGTCTAAGATTGGAAAGTTTCTGAAAAACGAGGTATGTGATGCAAAGAGGCAATGTTTTAAAATTGTTTCACAGTATCACATCACAATTTGTATAAGAGTTTCTAATACAAACCATGCCAATTTGTTTAAAGAAAATCAAAATATTCTAGTTGAGGACAGACTCTGCACTATACCTGTATCCTTTACTGATTATTCTAGGCATAGTAAAAAATAAGTTACCGATCCAAATATCTACCTAAGGTATTATGAATGAGTTGGTTTGTCCTTTATGTGAATATTCCTAACTGATTGTTAGAAATTCATCTGTTAAATATGAAACATGATTTAGTACCTATAATGCTATGGTCCTACTCACTCACTCTTTCCTTCTCAATCACCTTCAGCTAGAGCAAAGTTTTCAATGTAAAAATATTTATCACTGTTAAGTGCAAAAATTAAAAAGAAAATGAGGTTTTAATTGTCACATGTAACTTAAAAGCCATGAAATTCAACCACTGCACGAGTTTTGTTTCTGTAAAACAGAATTTTAAAAGTAGGTATAAAACTTCACATTATGCTCTGTGCAGAACAGAAATAAGTTACCTTTCATTGTACCGATTAAGACTAGACAAGTAGAGGATGGAAAAGGAGGTCAGGTAACAAAATGGCCTGTGTTAGTGCAAACTATGTTCAATCTTCTCACTATTCTAAGACTGAATTAGACCAATAACTGGCCATATCTTGCTATCATGTTAGTAGAGAATCTTGTGAAATCACAAGAATTCAACAGTAAAGTATGATGGCCAGAGAACTCGTACCAACTTGAAAGGCAGGCATAGGCTCAGACCATTGAAATCCGTCTAGCTAAACACACGAATGAACTTATTATGCTAGCACCAGCCACCTGTGAATGTGAACCCTTCTCAGGATTTTTTAAATAAGACAGTGTTAGCACGTGAAAGTTATCAACAGAAAACAGCTACTTTAAAACTTCAGCTTAATTTAAAGCTATATGGGAAATAATATTATGAAATAATTAGACTGAAAGTTCTTTCTGAGATGATTTGTTTTTCCCTTCGATTTACTCTAATAACAGAACACATTTAAATCTCAGTACACTTGAAAGCTGTACATATATATGTATATATATATATTAAAAATGAGAATCTAAGTTAGTGCTTCTCTGTGTTGGAGAGGTCACAGCTAAAGTCCTAGTGATATTGCCTCAGAGTTTTACCCGTATTTAAAATAAAAAGTCACATCACACACTCTTTTGGATGACTCTCTAACCAATAATACCTAATTGCTCTTATAAGACTGCATAGTTATTAATTCATCTGGTATCTCAGAGACTATCACAAAATTCTAGAATGAAAATGATTGTTTTTATACCAGAAAAAAAAAGCTGATAATTGCACTTTGTTACCTTTTGCTACTGAAATGAAAACATCACAAGGATGAAAAGACATCCCTCCCTACACTGTAATCTTTCAGAGCACTCACTCCGTGCACAAACTCTCAGCTTTCTTAAATACTGACAGCACTTCTTCTACCATTGAAAGACTAAGTTTCCTCAAGCAGTAGATGTCAGTGAGCTCACTAAGGCCGGCTACTCAAAGTACTTTCTGAAGACACTGAGGATAGAGTTTAGCAACAGCACATTCAAAATGCCGGCCAAGGTCCCAGAGCCGATCTGGGGTCTCATATACTTTCATCCATTGGTCAGTGATGTCATCATATTGATAAAGAGAATTTTTTCTGCTGGTTCTGAAGACAAGTTCCTCAACGGTCACTTGAGTAGCTCGAACAAATAAATGAAGTTTATTCTGGAAAAGTACCAGTTTAAGGTATGGATTGATGGATTCATCACATGGAAAGTCCTTCTTACGAGTCCATTTATTTAGCTCAATGTCATAGGCTTCTACAGTAAACATGCGTTGATGATTTCCACAGGTTCCAGCTATGTAGTAGATAGAGTCTTTGTATACAGCTGCTAAGCCCTGGATTCTAGGCACAGTCATAGGGGTTAAAAAACCCCAGTAGTCTTTTTGAGGCTCATAGAAGAGGAAAAATTCTCCTAAAAAAACAAAGAAAAAGAGAAAACAAGATTATGTACATTTACATGTCTCTTTTTGGTTGTATGTTGAAGACTAAAAAACAATTTTTCAAATATTTCACTTTCTAAAATATTGCTTTTATAATCTCCAGAGATACATTATTTATAAAATAGCCTAAAACTTCTTTGTTCCATGGCACAACATAACACAGAATATTATAGTCGGCCTGAATTGGGAGTGTTCATAATGGGGAGAGGTGAGGAGTGATTTTGCCTGATGGCAGAACAATAGTTAAGACCTGGTTTGGACCTGGCCAAGTAGCAAAGGTTAGAGTGTTGTCCCCATACGCCAAGGTTGTGGGTTCAATCTCTGGTCAGGGCACATACAAGAAGCAACCAATGAATGCATAAATGAGTGGAACAACAAATCAGTGTTTCTCTCTCTCTCTCTCTCTCTCTCTTTCTCTCTCTCACCCTCCCTCCTGCTCCCTGCTCCCTTTCCTCTCTTCCTTCCTCTTTCTAGAAAAAAATCAATAAAACTTTGAAAGAGATAAGCTAAAAAACTTTAAAAAAAGACCTTGTTTCCATTTATTTTATCCAATTATATATTCAGAAAATGTATTTTAAGCCAGTTCTACATAAGCATTATTACTAACTCAAGGCTGTGCAAGAGCAGGCCTTCCTTCCCCGGGCTGCCAGTACTGGCTTCCCTCGCAGCCTCGGCTTCGTCCAAAAGGACGTCTGGTATAATTAGCATATTATGCTTTGATTATTATAGATGATTAGTCAGTGAGGTCAAAGTCTATATATAGCTTGATCAAGAATAAGCCACTATAAATTTATTTGCTCATTATTTATTTAATTAGAAGATAGTACATGAAATTGTTCAGATTTGTGTCTATGGTGCATTTATGTGTTCATTTTAATATCGCCAAAATGCAAAGACAAATATTCAACAGGTGAAAACATGCTTTACATGATAGAAAACACACACATAGTTTATAGAGGTGACTTTGAGTCTGTTTCAATTCTATTTTAATAGTAAAGGGTGTGCTGAGTCAGACTGCTAATATTAAAATGTCTGAAAAAATTCAACTAGTGAAGACTTATAAGAATTTAGCTAATTATAACATTTCTATAAAATCCTTGATATAAAACTCTGAACCCTTTATGAACAGATTAAATACCTACATGAGCTTCTGACTACTCATGTCAAGTTTATTTATATAAAGAGGCTTTGTTTAGATTAGAAATACCTACTTCTAAATTGAGCTTCTCCTTGAAAACTGTTTTGAACTAGGTTTACTCTGATCTACAAATTTAACTGTCTGCTTAATAGTGATGCTGTAATTTCAATTTTTCTTAAAATAGCTTGTTAAACTCCCTGCCTTCACTTGCACATCACCTGCCCTTAAATAATGAACTTCTAACAGGATTCTTAGTAAAGAATATAGGAATTAAAACTTTCTAACGTGTACTACCCCTCTACAAATTTCTTATGGAAAGCAAAGATGATACATAAAAGAAAGTTGACTTTTACAATCTAAAATCCACTTTAATAAATTAAAAGCAATGATGGGCAGTTAAGAAAATCCTCGGAGCCTCAGATTCCTCTTATATAAAATATAATCTTGGATCAAACAATGTTCATTCCAGCTCTGAAATTCTATTAATTCAATGCTACTTTGCTTTAGCATTTATATTAATATACAACCTTTACCTTCCAATTGAGTGTCTTACAATTAATTCTACATTTATCAACTAACTGGTTAGCCAGTAAGACCAAAATACATGTAAAGAGAGCTTCCTCATATTGGATGCTACAACCTATACAACCACACTCAATAGATTATACATCCATTCTTATATCCCAGTTTTCAGCAAGACCAACAAACCTTAATCATGCCTGTGTTTCTCAACTAAAATAAGGCACTAGAGAGTACTACTCCTGGAGAATTAACTTTTACTGAACTTTAAATATATAAGTTCAAGCTTTGCTAGGAAAATTTAAGTCAAATAAAGGATTAGAGCAAAGAACATAACTTAAAGAAAACAAGAGGATAAGAACTAAAAACTCATGTGTATCTACAAAAAAGTTGCCCCTTTTTTCTTGTTTTATTAAAGTCATAAGTACAGAAAACATTCATATGTAAGCAATTAAGAAACACAGAAGAGAGATAAGGATGACGGTATTATTGACATTGCATTCAACATTCAAACAACTAAAATGTGTAAACCCAAACATAAGGAAAACATTAGTAATCTCAAATCAGAACCCTGGAACAAACGTCTTATTTATTCTCACCTAGTCACTTTCTCTACCTCTCCTATATCATTTAAAATCTTTTAAAAAGTAAGTATATTGAATATTCCCTCTTATTTATAATGTTAAAGGTAAGAAAAAGGTGACATCTCAAAGTTTCCAGTGGAAAAAAAACTGAAAACAACGTATCAGGGAAGGTAAAATAAACTGCACTGAAATTAAAATTGGAAGGCTGTAATTTAAAACTTTGTAACCTTTGCAATCATAAAGCTTATACAAAATTCTTGGGTGATTGATTAATATATCCTTAGTTAATGCTTTGTTCTTTCTCTTCTAAACTAATCTTTAAGTTCCATAAGAAAAATAGTTGCTACATCTCCTGATTATATATTATTGAAGAGCAAAAAAAAGGTCATGTATCAACCTTGCTTTCTTGTTTCAAGTCTTCAAAACAGCTCTTAGAAATAGTCCTCCAAAAATACTAAACTACTACTTATTAAAGAATGCTTTCAAAAATACTTATTCCACATGATGTCAAAACACAACAAGAACATAAGTAAAACACAATTTGACAACTTTACCTGCTACCCTTTCATGAAGAACTAAGCCACTTAGGCACCTACCCTGTAAAACATAGATCTTCTCTTTGTATTCCACAGCATTATGGAACTCCATTGCAACAGGCATTGCGCAAACAGTTGTCCAACAATTTTCTCTGCTGTCATAGCACTCCACAGATTTTAGTGAGTTTCTCCCATCACCTTCATAAACACGCCCTCCAATGGCATACATCTTACCACAGCAATACACCAGCTTGCAGCCTATTCTGGCTCGCAGCAAGGATGGTTTGGATAGCCACCTATTGGTGGAATGGTCATACATCCAGAAATCATTTTCTGCCTTATGGTCAATGGATACTTCGCTGCTGCTTGGCCGGTATCCTCCTGCAATGTAAATGTCATTATCTGGTGATATGAGAATCCCAACTTCTCTTAGATCATTTGGTGGCTTGCATAACTTAAACACTCTTCCTGTGACTATATCTAGACAAGGCACTGTTTGCTTCTTTCCTGAGTGTTTGTGGGCAGCATCAAAACATATGATCATTTCAGATGCAGTCATTCCAAGTCTTTGTGTACAGCCATTAGTATTGGATGGTCCCTTCTCTACATAGCTTTTGGCTATAGCCTGTGCAAACTGAGGTGGAATTTTCTCTATAAAGGTATCTTCCATTAGAGGAAAACGTATGCATTTGGCAAAAATTTCTGGAAGGTGCACTTCTCTTTCATTCTGTTCATATTCGAACCACCTTACAATGCTTTCATAAACATGCTCTTCTCGGTCCACGTTTAAATCATCACTGTCTAGTATACTTATCAGTTGGTCTTTTGTCAATTGGAGAAACTCCTGTTCTTTGGTGACACACAGAAACTTTTTACGAATGTATTCTTTTGATCGATATCCGAGTTCCTGATGACCATAATGATCGGCAAAGATGAAGACCCCAATAGAATTTTGTGGGTCCAAATGACTGATCATATACTTAGCGCACTGGTCTTGGATGGAAGGAATCTGGAAGATGCTAGCTGCAGTAAACAAGGCTTGAACATTGGCCTCTGTCAGAACAACTCTGGAGGTGTAGGCATACTTCAACACTAACTCCATTGATTCAGCTTCAACACCGACTATTCGAACTTCTTTTTGAGAACTTTCTGTAAGGCCACTAGTGAACATGGATCTACGAAGGAAAAAATACTTAATATTATATGTGCTCTATAAATAAAAATTATGGTGGCAAATATTTAGCAGTATAAATTTACCACAGACATAACCCTTGAAACTGAAAAATATTTCCTAATGTGTTTCCTGATATTCTGAATGGGGATTAAGGTTGCTCATCTAGCAGAAAAATGTAGTCTGACTAATCTCGAAAATCTTACCGGGATCAGTCCACTCTATGCCAGCTCTGAGACAACATATTCCAGGACACCTTCTATTCCTTAGAGCTCTTACCCAGGCTTCTGGTCAAGTTGCATTAGGGACTTGAGATCTTAAATCCCCAGGCCAGTCAGAAAGTTTAACACTTACAGGGTGTTAATGTGATGCATTAGCATATAGAGACTGTCTAGCAAAACTTCTCATGTCCCAGGGGAAATTTACAAGGCAACTCATGCCCAAAATATATCTTCATAATTTTCATCTTAGAAAAACAAATCACTCTTCATAAGTTCTTATTTTCTACCTACTTGTATTTAAAACTATCTCATGCATGCTTCCTTATTCATAATAAGGAATATACAGAGCATGACTTACCCTTGGACATTTTGAAAACCTTTTCTTAAAAAATATATGTAATATTCTCATAGTTGCTATATTTTACCTATTATATCTGTGTGTGAATAAAGATTATGGTAGGCTGATAATAATGTCTACTTCTAAAGGGAATTTAGGAATTAACTGATTCTTGGAGATAATGGTTTTTAAACCCAAAACTTTTGCCTTTGAGGCCAAGCTCTTTGTTTGTTTGTTTTTTTATATCTGTGCATTTATGGGCCTTTCTTGGCCTAAACATTAAATAGCCAAAGCTTGGCTCTTTAAGTATTAGTTATTTACAAACATTATTTGTATTTCTTTTCTTCCTTTAAGGTTTCTTTCAAAGCTGCTCTTAAAATTAAAATATAAAAATCAAATCCAAAGCTCTTTTAAAAGCCTTTTCAAAAAGGGACTGCGTGCCCTAGAATGCTGACTAGATGTCTATTGAAAAAAATTGACCTAACATTGGTGATGAAGTTAACTATACAGACCCATTCACCTCCCATTTTATTTTCAAGTGTCATGCTAAGGAAAATATTCTTAAATAGGAGGACTTCCAGTCCTTTGGGTCTCCATCAAATGAATTTAAAAATGCAATCTGAGAAATCCTGGAGGTATACAAGGTATCACAGGACCCAGCTTGCCGCCTGGGTTAACCATCTTTGAGTCCTATTTTTACTGCTACAATGTCAATGTTAGTTTAATATCACCCAGGCTTTTTTTGATGACTGAAAACTAGATGTTCCCATGTATGAGCTGGTTTTCAATTCAGGTGCTGAAAAACTCAGCGACACAGTTACCAATTAAAGAGAAAAATAACGCCCTTCATTAGGCACAGATGAGCTCCCAAAGGAGCGCACTGGTCCAGGTCCCTGTATCATGGGAACCACTGCTGACCTGACAGGCAGCTCTCCCAACAGGAGCAGTGTGACACCTGATGAGCGCTCCTCGGTTCTAACAGGTGCTTTACGTAAACTCTGTGTAAAGCAGAAGCACTTCATCACACAAAACCCTGAGCAGCAAAGCCTTTGTAATAATAGAATTTTAATTCTGAGACGTCATTGGGATCATGAAACAGCCATGCCAGATTCCAAGCTATTCTAATGCTTCCACCAGTGATGCAAGACTTAGAAACCATTAAGTATGACTTTCCAGATTTCACCGCAACTGCACTGTGCCAAGAAACTTCTGCACAAAAACGACAAGAGGAAAAAACCTAATCCTTAAGTGTTCTAGCCAAATATCTTCATTTGAATTCAGAGATCTAATTTCTTAGAAATTAAGAAAATGTATTATAGCATACTTCTTTTAAAGTGATTTGTCTAGGTCTTCAAAACTAATTTTAATTAAGTATGGCATTCAATGATATAGGACAGTATAACATTTCAGTAAGGCACAGACATTTTCACTTTGAAGTTCAATGTTTTGGGTTTTTTTTTAACTACTTAAATCTTATGTAATAAAAATTTCTGAAGGGCAACTTTAAAGAGGACCCACACTCTTAAAAGCCATATAGAGACTAAGAAGCCTGGCTCTGGAATCAAATCCAACCTCTGCCACTTCCTAGACGATTTAGACAGGCCACTTAACCTGCACCCTCACCTCAGTTTTATCAAATGTAGATTGGGAATAACAACTATGCAGAGACAGAGTTTTAAACATGATATAAAGCAATATATGCAAAGTAAGCTTAGCCCAGAGCTTGATAAGTATTTAATTATGACATATATTTCAATATTTTTATGCATAAATACCCTAACCATATCTAATGGATACTCCGGATAAGTGAATCTCACCAATAGTTTCCATTACCAGCCCAAACTTCATAATTTTTGCGTGTCTTTTTTTTCCTTTCCAGCTCACTACCTCGTGACGGTTAATACTTAATAGTCCAATGACCTACCCTACCTAGCAAGTCTAAATGGTTACCTCACAAGCATGAGGGGGAAGTGACTATATTTAACTGTGTTCTGAGAAACAGGAACCAGAAACTACCATGGGGAACACTACACTGCTATATGCCCTATAAAGGTAAGCACCTTCAAAAGGAAAGAGTGGCTGAGAAAATTACTTCCTGTTCATTCATGCACATTATTGGACATTGAATGGATTTTTTTTTTTTTAAAAAAAAGAGCATTTGAAACAAAAGAAATTAAACTCAAGCAGGAAGCTGCCTTTATCACTGATCTTTTCTTAGAATATGAAATTATATTTTAGACTCCAGTTTTAAAATTTAACTTTTCAAAGTTTTATACAAAGATGGATATAAATGAAAATGAGAACTTAGCTTTGAAATGCTTCAAAATCTTAGAAATAATTATTTGTCTGGGGCATAAGGTACACAGAAAACTACATTTCACTTATTTTTATTTCACTGCTTTTATCCTCAAGGCAGTAAAACAATCTATTAATAGTAGTTTCTTTTCAAAAGAACAGGCTATTATGTTTTAAACTCTAAAAGAGTTACATGCACTAAAGGAGTATGCATCATGGATAAATGTTTGGAACGAATTCTAGACCGGCACTGCCCCATACCATTTTCAGGGAAGTAAATGCCCTATCTGGGCTGTGCAGGTGGCAGCCACTGCCTCCAGGTGGCTACTGAGCACTATTTAAAGTGGACAGTGTGCCTGAGGAACTGAAGTGTTTAATTGTGTTTGATTTTAAATAAAGTTTCGATGCCACATGTGGCTAATGGCTGCCATACTAGGCAGCACAATTCTAGATTTTCTGGTCATTTACCTGAAACAAACAAACAGAAACATACTAACTTAAAACAAACAAACAAACACCTGCATTCTAGAAGAATCCCACAAGTCAAAAACAAGAAAGAAAAAGAAAAAAATAGGGACTGTTATCCTTTTCCAGGAAACAACTCCTGGGTGTCATTTCCGTGCAGCGCGTCCATATGGTATCAGCGGCCCGTGCGGGGAGGGGGCGGGTGGGCTGGGCCGTCCCCTCCGCCGTCCCCGCCGCCGCCTTCTTACCTGAAGTAGGGGCTGATGGCAGCGAGAACGTTTCTATGGCAGGAAAATGCTTTCCCGCGATCCACTTCCACCACAATGTCTGTCAACTGAGCTTCCTCGTACATGGTTCTGAGCTGCTTTAAAACACTGCACGCGTGAGCGGGGGCCACGGCTTTGGGGGCGGGGGTTTGCGGACGGCGTCCGGGCGGAGGGGGGAAAGGTTAATTCATCTAGAGGGGAAACGGAACAACCCCGGGAGTCCGGGGCCCGCGAACGGGGGCGGGGGGCGGGGTCTGTGTGCTAGTGAGTGTCTGCGCGCGTAATTGTGCGTTCGCGGCTTGGGTGTTTTATTCCCGCACGGAAACGCATGTGTGCACACATGCCTACCACCCAACGGGCCGCGAGGTGCCCCCGGGCGAGCGAGCTGCGAGGCGGGTTCCCGCGCCCGCCCGCGTGCCTCGGAGCCCGGCGAGCCCGCAGCCCGCAGCCCGCGCTCGCGGAAGGGCCGCGCGGACCGAACGGCCGGACCGTCCCGGCCGAGCGCCGCGGCACGAGCCTCCCGAGGGGCGCGCGAGGGACGGCGGCCGCCAGGACCGCTTCAACCGCCTCCCGAGAGGTCGGACCGGCGTCGGGTACCCGGCCTCCCCATCCTCGTCCGACCGCACCGCCCACCGCCCTCCTCGCCATCCATCTCCTCCCCTCATCCCTCTTCACCTCTCCATCTTTCTCTCCGGCCCCGCATCGCCACCTGCACAGCTCCCAGCCCGAGCCTGGCCCCGGCCCGCCTCCCCCGCAACACACCTCCCTAGCCACGATACGACCCACCTGCCGACGCGGCCATTTCTCCACGGGGCCCCGCTCCAGCTATTTAAAGAGGAAATGTCATTTCACTTCTCTTGCTCCCGGGTTCCGGCTCTTCTATGCTTCCCCTAGCCAATGGGGTGGCCTATGCATTCGGCTCCGCCCCTCGCTTCCGAATTCCGGGCGTTGATTGGTCAGAACACGCGCAAGGCGCCTCGGGAAATGTAGTTCTATTGCCCCCGCTCCCGCGTGGTCCGGGTTGGGTGGAGACCAAAGCCGGGGATTCCTATTGGTCGGTTCTGGAGGAGGTGGAGAGCGAAGAGGCAGCCAGCCTGTGTCCTTGGGGCGCGCAGTGCCTGCCAGGAGAGGTAGTCCTCCAGCCCAGATAGCTGTCATTCTGAGGGGCTGGGGCAGGGGAAGCTCTTAAAGGGCAAATTTCCCCATGTTAGGCCTCTCCCAGGGCCCCAGCTCATTTTTTGTTTTTTAATCTTGTTCTTCATTCCCTAAACCTCCTGCCAATGACTAGCTTCCAGTATGAAAGCAGGCTGTGAAACCAGAAAAATTGGGAAATGGACAAAAGCGATGTTGTCCAAAAGATGCAAAGGAAATCTGACACCTCACCCTGCAGAAAAATATCCGGAGCCCCAAAGCAACCCACCTCTGATGAGTCACCTGTGACACCCGATTGAAACAGCATCTCCTTGGCCCAGTGCGCTGGTTTCCGCAGATTCCCTTGGTTACCAGGCTGCTTGGGATCCTAACTTCCACTCACACCGTGTTTTCCTGAGACACCCAGAGAACACCTGTTCCACCTAAAGAGCATGTGGAAGAGTTAGGATACTAGGTGGGATTTCCTTTGAAGAAATATTGGAGCCAGGGAGGATTTCTGAATATGGGGCCTTAGAGGGGACCCTATAATTCTTGAGTACTTAGCTTCTACACCTGTGCATTGGGAATAACACTTCCTGTTCTTTCTGCTTCCTAGGCTGCAACCTTTTTGAAAGGAAGTAGAAATTTTACTGTTGACATGTTTTGATTTACTTGTCTTGTGTTTCTGGTATCTAAAAGGGTGTCTGGTACATTATAGGTACTTAATATTTCAAAAATAAATGTCAGGCATAAATGAACTAACATTGCAAATGCTCTTTCTAGCCCTTGGAAATGTAACGAAGTATTATCAGAGAATTGGGAAGAAATTTCTAGTAGAGATGGAGTTAGTCCATGCTTGTAGTTTTTCTAACATAGAAAAGATTAAACAGTTGAACTTGATGAAGCCTCTTGGAATTTAAGTTGTCATGAAGAAAGAGATAAAATGATGAAAAACAATCCAGTTCTTTCCCTTTGATCTGCTAAAAAAATGTAGAGTTACATTTAGAAAAATATAATTCCTTGTGAGTTAACAAGAATTGGTTTTTCCTGGGGCTGGGATGTATGGCTGTCGATAAGCACTTATAACTCCCCTTAATGAGCACCCTGCCTGCACAGTGCTGCATGGGTGAAATCAATAAATTGATTTAGATTTTGTTACTCATAACTTTAAATTCCCTTTTCTACAAGTTGCTTTCTAACTTATGGAAATAGTGGTGGGTTCACTCACAATATTGATGGTATTAAGAAAAAAATGGCATTAGTCATTAGGGTTGCCAGATTTAGCAAATAAAAGGACATGCTTGTTAACATAGGAAACATTCAATCTTGTGAAGAATTTTTGTGAGTTTATTTGAGCAAAACTGTTGACAATTGCTGGGAAGCAAAATCTCAGCGGGTTGAAGTGATGCTCCAGAGAGTGGCAGTTTTGCACCTGGTTTTATGCATTATAATCAAAAGAGGAGACGAAGTGGGTTACATGAAATCCATTGGTGATGGACTAGGGAGGTGGGAGAAAGCAAAGCAGGGAAACCTCTGGGATTGGATAAAAAGATGACAGACACATACTTCTTTTATTTAGGTGGGTGTGTGATAATTAACAGTCAACAATTAATAACAATAAGGAGATTTGTGGATCTGCAGAGTGGTGCCTCTGCTTTGAGGGGTCCAGAAAAAGGGAAATTACTTTGACATTCCAACGATATGTTATCCTAGATCAGTGATGGCGAATCTATGACAGGCATGTCAGAGGTGACACGCGAACTCATTTTTTTGGTTGATTTTTCTTTGTTAAATGGCATTTAAATATATAAAATAAATATCAAAAATATAAGTCTTTGTTTTACTATGGTTGCAATATAAAAAAATTTCTATATGTGACACGACACCAGAGTTAAGTTAGGGTTTTTCAAAATGCTGACATGCCGAGCTCAAAAGGTTTGCCATCTCTGTCCTAGATGCAAAAAGACAATAGGCAGGCTCAGTTAAGGTAGAGATTGACATTTGTCAGGGAAGATACTGGCCTAGGACATGACTACCCACCCTAAACTGCTTTTTAGTTTTAAAAAATTTTAATTTCAGTCCATCTTTTGTGGTTACTTTAGGCCTCTCAGTTTGCAAGGCTGCCAGACAGGCCTTCCCTGAGTTAGTCAGGTTAGCAAGTGGCCCTTTTTCGTCCACACTTATTTGGGACATACTTAAAGTAAAATATCATTTGTTATTGAAATGAAAATTTAATTGGGTGTTCTTATTTTATCTTGCAGCCTATTCAAGCCTGTAAAAATAGAGGTTTTCTTTTGTGTTTTGATTTTGTTGTAGCTATGTATCTCAGCCTAAGAAACTTGGCCAATTTTCTTTTTAATTCTCCCCTAGTTAATAAAGAGAATTGCAAATATTGTTAGTTAACTAAAAGTTTTCTGATTTTTTTGACTGACAAAAATTTCTGAAGTTGGGGATGGACAGAATACAAAAAAAAACCACCCAATTAAAATATAAATAGAAAAAAGCAATGTTGTAATTGCAAGGCTGCTGTTAATGTGGCACTGTAAATGACTCTTTCTACCATCAGATGGAATTGCATGATAAAGACTTCTTCATGATTAGAAATGCATTTTTAAAAAACAGAATAAGTAGAAGAATATGGAAATTGCGCCTACAGTTTCAGGGTTAATACTAAATAGCTAAAGGCTACAGCTTTGTTTTTTTAAAAGATCTAATTTGAAATTTAATAAAAACCTGTCAATCAAGGAAGGCAGCAACAAAAGTAAACCAGTTTTCTTCTTAAAGTATTAAGTACTATACTGTCCTCTGAAGGAACTTTCTCATATATTTACAGTTTAAAGTAAAATTTAGTAAGGATGAAAATTGAAAAAGCAAACCAGAACATTGGAAGGATTATATTTAGCTCAAATTAGACATTTAGAGCCTTATTCTTTTAACATTTATTATCGAGGAACCAGAAGCAACGAAGATTGCTATAATCATGGTTGTTTAAGAGTACAAAAGTCTTTACATTTGAATTCTAGCACAGATGAAGGATTATGAAAGCAGCAACTTTGGAAAATGAGAAAATTGCCCAGTGGCCTTTTGGGGTTATTTTTTTCTGCTTCCACTTTAAGATAATAACTTTTATCAGTTGTGCCCAGGCTACTGTGGGAAATAATACCACACAACACAGGAATGGTAGCAGCTCTGGAGAAGAAGGTGTAAAAGAAAATAGGACTTCACTTCTGCAAATTGATTTTGTCGTTTTCCAATTTCCCTGTTCGGTCCGGGCATAGGCTGTGAAATTGACTAGAGCTATAGAAAATGAAAGTAACAAGAGAATACCTGTGACTCTTCCCTTTTAGCAAGTGACATCCTTATATGTTGATCTTTCTCAGGCTACAGCTACAACAAAATCTGACACTTTTCCTTGCTGAAGACTTTGGTCTTGCCTGGATTAATGCCTAAAATAAAGCAACAAAATTTGTATTAATATAAATTCAATATAACACCACGTACTTCAAAATTGTTGTTTTAATTTCTAGAACCTTGTGTAGTTCATATGATTTAGTTTCTTTTAAATACAAAACTCTAAATAGATATTAACATCAGGCTTACTGATTAGACATTGCTGACCTTTGTTGTATTTTAATTTTTATTCCCTTTGAGGTGATGTAAAAATTCAACATGGAAATAACTAGAGGATGGCGCTTTGGGAATAACTGAATTTGATCATACTGGATATTAAAACACATTAATTTATCTTTTAAGTATTTGAAAATTAGCATATATGTGAAAAAAGAGACTGTAAAACTAGTGGCAGGGATATTAGATTTCTCAAAAATATGTGTTACCCTACACCCAACCTGTATTCTGGGCAGGCATTGTACAAAGTTCTAGGTTTAATACTAAAAACAATAGGTGTGGATGATAGATAGGTAGATATAAATAGAGACTGAATGTTTTTTTGTTTGTTTTTAAATATATTTTATTGATTTTTTACAGAGAGGAAGGGAGAGGGATAGAAA